ACTGACAGAGGCCGTGTATATATTGTACATTTAAATAAGAAATAAGTGTATTGTAAATATGTGTAAACAGAGACAGTGGACTTATTAATACAGACTGACTAACAAATGACAGACCCAACCTCTTGTCAGAGAGGGCACTACACATAGACAAGACAGTAACTTTCATTCAAAAGAAATATCTGGTCATGAGCCCCAGCTGGGGCTCGACACCAAGACAGACAGACTGACTGACCGTCAGTTGCAACGTGACTCTGACTCTGACTGACTAACTAACATGCGGCAATGTGATATTGACTAGGAGTGAGTGCTGTCTGTTAGATGAGCGAAACCACGTGTTAGTACGTGCGATGTTCCCACAGGGAAATTATTCATTAAAAGTGACATCAGGAGAAATAATTTAACTTTCAAAAACTTTGAACATGTTTACTGTGGCAAAATAATTAGATAAATGAGATCTTCCATTTGTATTCATACACTGAATGAAGAATTCATGCATCAGATTTTCTTTATTGCAACTTGTAAGCTAAGTATGAAGAATAAAACTACAATTAACTTTACCTTTATAATGAAATAAGTCATAAATAATGATGTCTGGAATAAAGTATTCTAACTTTACATAAGGGAGAAGAAGAACTGCCTAAGACACTAATAAAAGATGTTACAGAAATTAAATGCTTATAAGATCAAGTTGTATAACTAAACATTAAAAACAGTAACAACATTGACGAAGAAGGACAAGGGACTTAGTCTCACCCCACTAGCATTAAAAAAAAAAGACAATGACGATGAAAACAACAACGACAACGACATAAAAAAGAAAAATGTTAATGACAAAACACCTAAAAATTTATATGGACTTCTTTTCATCTGTATTAGTAGAATTTTTCAGTTATTGCAAATAACAAAATGTCACCTGGAGCTGGCTGAAGTTCCAACAGAGACACTACTAGAATATGATCCAGATGCACTGCTTGCTCAATTCCTTTCTTGTTAAAACTTGTAAATACAAGTCTCCAGTTCATCTCATTCCTACCATCATTATGTAGGTTATAATTAGAAAGTCTCTTACCATGGACTGGAAATAATTATACCACTAGATATACCTGCTTAATGGTCCGATTTCAGACTGACATATTGCAACTGCCCATTCCTTAATTCTGCTACATATTGGATACCACTTTCCATGCCAGTTACGATGCAAGAATCCGCTAGTATATGATACAGGAAACATCTGAAATTTAAATATTTGATGAATGTGCCTACTACACTCATCCAATCTGACACCATACAATACCTGCTGGAAAATGGTGAATTAAAAGAGAGAAAGAAAAATGATTATACTTCAGAAGTTGCACACCATGAATATATGTTGGGGAAGTGGAGGTAAATTTCCACATATTTCTAACCTTAAGACTAGTGGCCCTATTTATGTTCCTCCAGTTTTAATCCTAGGAGAAAGATTGGAGCGTAAATTTTGTGTGGGCATCTGGGCTGTTCTGAGTGTGTTAGTGAAGGCAATAATCTATACCCTTACAAAGATTCAAATGCCAGTCATTCAGCTCATAGGCAGTTCTACAAATAACTGTTACATTACATTACATTAATCTGTATTCCCTGGATCCAAAGTTAGTCAAAATGACTGTAGGATGTGGAAAATATCATGCAAATACAAAAACTTCTGTACAGTACAACTGAAGTTTTCACACAAGAAAACACTGTGGTTACACATGAGGCTATTCAAAAATACATGAACATATATGTATATATACATCATTACTGTCAACTTATGCTATTTATACAACCTTTAAATGGATGAGTAATTTTTTTAGACAGTAAGTATTCATCAAGATAGTATAATGCATGTGTCTTTAAGTATCATTTTAGTGTCATTTAAAATCGGGCTTTTTCAAACATAAGACTTTAAAGATCAGATGACAGATTACTGAAAATTTTGATTCCAGCATAATATGCGCTTTTCTGAAACCATGAGAAGTTAGCAGTTGGTTTACGGAGATAGGGCGTCTATCTTGTTGGAAGGTTAAGTAAATGGTCACATTATTTGTAGATCTGCTAGTTCTGGAAAGAAAAATATGTTATGATTTATACATTTTTGCATAATAATGTTCCTGCCTTTAAAAACAGCATCATGTTCAGATAAAGACATCAGTAAAAATGTTGGAGGCACTGAACTTTCAACTCTTGTACTAGTACAGGTACAGGTAAATATGTCTGTATTAAACTGCTATCAGTGGAAAGTTATACTTGGACAGAATTGTGTGAAAAAGCCCGACTCAAATCCATTATTTCAGACAACATATTCTGACACATATTAATCTCTGAACACTTCAGGATTTACACATCAGAAATTAACTATTGCAGCAGATTTTAATGACTTACATGATGATTTGACAGCCTGTCTTCTAACAGCAAACAGTCCATTTCATCTCTACCATTGGGACAATTTCTCATTCCATCACAGCGCTGCTCCAGAGGTAAACATGTAGCTTTCCGATTATGCCGATCCCAATCTTGGCAGCTGAATGATGACACATTACAACCTGAAATACATGTTCATTATCATTATAGATAATGACATAACATGATCAAAACCATTCAACAATTTGCACAGTGGTTTCTGTTTTTATTTTCTGGCAACATTAACCTTCCCTTCACCTGGAAGTTTGTCTACAGCAAATTTAACATTTTGTGGACAAAACCTGAATTTTAAATTATTGATGCCATTCTAGGTTGGTGATGCATAACTAGATAGCCAAGCAACTACATGACTTAAAATTCATTCTAAGAAGCTCAGCTAATCAAGAAGTCCCTTGCCATTCATGAAACAGAAAGTTAATTACCATGTTCATAACAGCCCATGACTGAAACCTGTAATGAGTGGCATAAATCTGGTCCATGCATTCACACTCTATTTCCTTAAGATCTATTTTAAGATTATTCATGTTTTGATGAAACATAGCTCATTATATTACCATCAAACACAATCCCTTGACATATTTTGCCTTACATATATCAGGTTTGTAATCTATATTCAGAGTTGTAATAGGAAGCCTGATTTGCTGGAAAGCTGGAAAGACAAAGAGCTAATCCAAGGGTCAATCTGTCCCATATAGTCTTACTACTTCAGAAATTTAAATATGATTCTAATAGCATACAGTGTGACAATTGAAGGATAGCAGAAGGGGTTATGCAGGGTGAGCTTCAGTTACTGGGAACTTCACATATTGCATAGAAAACTCCCCCTGGATGAGATATGTTCATGGGAACGGTACCCTAATTTAAAAGCTCTGACTCACCAAACTGAAGGTTGGGAATCACTGAAAGCAGGAAGTATCACATTCAATTTTTATCTATATGTATATTCAGGGGCACAGTATTAGAATACTATTGCCTACAGCAAGAATGAGGTACTTTCAATGTTATTCACTTACGTTTTAAACAGCATGATGATCATAAATTATCAGCTATTATATATCACAGTGAACGACAAACTGTTGATTTTGCACTGATAAATACTCTGTTTCTGCAAGATAAGGACATATGCTTAAACACACATTTATTTTTTTAATTTTCTGAAAGAATCTGTTGAATACAAACCAAAGCAGCCAAGTTCATCTTCACTTTGCGGACAGTCAAAATATCCATCACATAACCGGTCCTTATCCAATCTGTCTTGACAAGTACAGTGACTCTCATCACTTGTATCATTACAATGAACAATCCCATCACACCAATGTACCTGTTTCACGCATGCTGAGCCATCACGGCATGCCACTTTCCCAGATGAGCATTCTCCTGGATCAATAAAAATTTTATCTTTTTTTGAAAGAAGTTAGAAGTATATATTGGAGGAATAGGGGGAGGGGCAGTGGCTTTCTGAGCATGTGTAGCCATGTCAGAACTCTTTTGGAATTGTTTTCAGTTCACAGTTTTACGTGGTGAAGTGAGAATGATCGTTTTGTGCCTTTCATTCCCTTTCATTAAATTCAGTCAAAAGAACGTGTGAGACAGTTTTCATGAATATCAGTATAATGGCAAGTAAAACGCATGATTTAGGGAGTCTTCAGAAATAAATTATGTGGTTTTAAATTTGATTTTAAAACTCATAATACAACAATACATATGTGAACCTACAGAAATTCTTAAGTCTACCAAAATTTTCTTAGATGAATATGTTTACAATTTAAGAATTTTAAAACTTTGTAACTCTTTACAAGCAAAAGGAGTATTTTGAACATATGAAAAGAATTTGGGTCTGTGATTACTGAAGAGATTTACATACTTTTATAAGATTTCCTCAGAGTAATACCATATGAAATGTAATGCAAAAGAACGAATATCATCCAATGTTTTGTTTTTATCACCACTGTGCTGCTATTACAGTTGTTTGTAAATATTAACACTAAAGGCAGAACTGTGTGCTTACTGATCATTGGTGAGTCCTAATGCCCGGTTCAGTGTGGTTCATTATTGTGATCATTTAGAGATGAAAATTATGCTTACTGCAGTTTGTGTTCCAATATTCTGAAATCTTGAACAGTGTACAATATATAGACACTTGTGAGTTCTGTGTTTTGTACATGACCTAACCCAAGTAGAAAGTGTGGTAAGCCTGTTACAAGAGTGGGAACACGTTGTGTGATACCCTTGATGACGCCAATGATAAAGTAATGAGGTAATGATAATGCTATTCTTGTTATTATGAAATAAAACCTGGAAGTAATACAGGAAATAATAAAATGCAGTTTGGACTCCTGGAATAATAATACATTTCAGATTTCACCAGAATAATCTTCATCAATACTGCTGCAAATTAACACAGGTCTTCACTCTGATAGAGTTCATGAATGTAATTGAAAATTGTAGCTTTTCTGAGACTTTTTCTAGTAATATAAATTTTTATTACATTATTTTAAACATGTTTAAACAGGTATGCAAGATTTAAAATATATGATTTTACCAGTGTGTTTACCTGCTCCCTTTGGCTGGAAACCCAGTAATTCTTCAGCACTGATCTGTTCATTTTGGAAATCTTGCCTATCTTGGCTACGAGATGCCTGAGAACTGACATCCAGTGCCTCAACAGTTTTATCTTGCTCATCTTGCTGGAAACCATAAGTAGGCAATATGAATCCAGGTGGAGTCTGTATCAAAATAGGGGAAATAATTGGTGCACAATAGAGATACTGTTGGGGTAACATCCCCCTACCCTCTGATTGTGTGTAATGAGTTGTCAGCACTCCTGGATAGAAAAAATTGTCTCCAGGGCTTGCAGGATAGTACCACAGAGAATCCATGTTATGCTGCCACTGTTGTTGGTAATGTTCCTGCTCCCACTCCTGTTGCTGCTGTTGTGGTTGTTTTTGTGGTGGTGCTTGTTGTTTCTGTTGTTGGTGTCGTTGCTGCACTTCAGTGAGCGCTTGCCATATTGGAAACCCATTAGAACCAACCCAATTATGACTGTTATATACTTCAGTTTTTTTACCTTCAGATGGGGAAACAGGTTCAGCAGTCAAAACGTTAAAACCAACACGTATTCTATGAATACATGCTGGATATGGAATCCAGTATGTTGGTATGAGAACAATGGAGGCATGTATATCTTGTTTTCGAGCATTAATCCTCTCATCAATGGCTCTATTTCCAAACTGTGTGTGTGCAGCTAAGCCATTATTCAAGCTGAGAAATGGATAGAATGTAGATGATGAGAAATGTAAAGGTAAATAAAATGGATTTCCTGCAACAGTGTTTATGTTGGAACCAACATTGTGCAGTGTGTATGAGGTCTGCAGGGGATTGACAGGTCCTGAATATGAACTTGAATTCACTGTAAAATTATCCATTTCTTCTCTGGTGGGTAGATTATTCATAGATTCTCTGGTATATATATGACTGACAGGTTTCAACAGTTTATTACTACTAATATCAAGCCTTTGAACATTTGTCACTAGGTCCATAAACGCCTCTTTTTTCAAATCAGATTCTGTTTCGTTAAAATTACTATGTATATAAATCTCAGGAAAATTTTCGTTTTTGTCTCCCTCTCCTGTCAGACTTGGAATATTCTCATTATTTGTGGTACCTTCATTAGAAACATTGTTGACTTTTTTATCCACAGTTACAGACTTAGCATGTCCTTTATATGCAACTGAAATATGATCAGACCTTTTAAGTGACACTGGCAGAGATTCATTACCATTCTGAGAGAGTGATTTTATTGTGAACGATGTATGTAAATTTGTAAAATTCTTCTCTAGTATATCTCCAAATGTTTTCAAAATAAGAGACTCTGTTGTAGTTTCAAACATAGTATCTTTCGATGAGAGACTGTTTTGAATACTATCATTAACAGAGTTAACTGTACTTACAGAATCTTGGCTTGCAGCTTCTCCATAAGAAGAATTCTCTTGTCTAGAGGTGTCACTAGAATTCTCATACCTCCACTGTTCAGCAACATCAATCTCTCTCTTACTATTATCTTCCTGTGACTGTGTTTGCTTTAGAGAAGTACTAACTTTGTCTTCACGTTCTCTATGGGTGTTGACCTCAGAATGGATCGGTACAACATCCTCAACACTCTCCAGTTCATGATGACCTGCTTCTGTATTTATATCAAAAGCCCTTTCAGCATTATCATAGTTACTGTAGTTAATATCATCCATTAAAGAAGTTGCATTTTTGTCTTCAATTACTAATTCATTTTCTGCAGTGCTTTCAACACCTTCATATTCATTTTGATTTTTAGTGCTTGCTGTCACAGTTACATTTATATTATGTTCATATAAACTTATCAATGTCTTTGCATCAAAAGAGCTTTCAGTAACACCATGTTCACTGTGATTGTTTACTCCTATCTTGGCTCTCATGAAGTCTTTGTTTGTATTTAGCTCATATGATTCTAGCTTTGTTGTCTGAAGAGATGTCATGGTATCTTCATACATGCGCTGATAATTTGTGTGGACATTGAGTTTCAGAGTACCTTCACTCATACTTTGATCTTGCAGGTCTTCATTTGTATTTACACGAGAAGTGGTTTCAATATCTTTGTATGCACTCTGAGTAACTATATCGACATATGTGAGAAGAAAGTCATTATTTTCATCCTCTTCTTGTAATTTGTTCCATATAGTTTTTCCATGATGGATTGTGTCTCCTTCATGTTCACTGTAGTTATTAATATTAATAGTGGTTGAAAGAATATTATTTTCATTCTGCTTTTGTGGTGTTTCTTCTGTAATTGAAATAAGAGGGTTCTCACTGATTTTATATTCACTGTAATCATTTATCTCCATGCTACTTGCTTCATAATCTTTATTCATGTTATGTTCTTGCAGTTTCGTCTGTGTATCTGTTTCAAGTGATGTTCCATTATTAATCGTTCTGAAACTACGAGTATCTGTTACAAAATCTCCAGTTCTTCTTTGTTCATGTGCTGTGCTTTCTGCAGTTGCTTCAGTAGAACTTGTGTTGTGACTATATATTTCATTACTGGATGTCACCAAAACTTCATTTTCATATAGCGCTTTTGGGCCTGTAGCTGTTTCTGAAGAGGTTTTGCTCTTCTTGTGTTTACTATTTATTGCCAAAGAATTCTTGCTTTCCATTTGTGATGTCGATGTAACAAAGTCATTTTTCACACTAAGTCCTTCAATATTGTTTAGTCCAGTACTGCTTGACATGAAGTCATCTTTGAACTCTTGCTGTAGTTCATTCTCCAGTCTTGCTCTTACAGACAATTCTATAGTATTTTTAGATTTATTGTGTGTATTCATGTGATAACTTTCTGCCAAAATATCTTCAGGTTTCATTCCTCTTTCTGCTGTTGGTGCAGTGGCCTCCTGGATCTTACTAGTTGGATACTGACGACTTTTAAACATCGCTGTAAATGTAGTGCTCAAGTCTTCGTGCAAATCTTGTGCCTGACTTTGCGCATTTATGCTGAAGTTTGCTGTCTGAATGTTTCCTGTTCCATTTTTCACTTGAATTTCACTTCCTGATACTTTCTGCAAATCCTCAACTCCAACAGACTTTTCAATAACTTCCTGATCCCTGTTGTGCATTATATTTTCATTTGATGTCTCAGACCTTTCCACTTCCCACATGTATACTGTTTCCCCTTGTTTAGTTGTCTGTGAAATGTTTTCCATATCTTGGCGTTCAGAGGTGATGGCAGTGATATTTTGTGTTATCACTTTGTTATCATTCACATCTGTGTTTTTATCTTCACCTTTCTCTTTCAATCCTCTGTGTGAAGTTTCATAAATAAAATGAGACTGATTGGAAATTTCTATGTCATGATCATATATTAAACTGTAAGGAAATGTCTTAGTTTCAGTTACAGGGTCAATGCTGATATTTCCTTTCTTTCTATATACTGTAGATTCTGTATGGTAAGTGTCAACAACATGGACACCTACTTCAGAATCGGTTACTAATGTTATAAGACCATAATTATTGTCAATTTCTTCCACTTTGTGGGGTGTAGTATTTCCATCAGTGGGAACTGACACTGCGAGTTTGGATGATAATCCAGCATACATATTAGATTTTGAAAATATGCCAGATTTTGTCAGGTTTGGCACAGATATGGATATATTGCCAAGTTGACTTTCTGAAAAATTCTCTGGGAATGTGATGCTTTCAACAGTGACATTGGGTGAACTAGTATGTTCAACCACACTCATTCCTATTGTGGGTATTTCAGACTTGAATCCGTCAGTTTCCTCTTCAAGGTTTTCATGTCCTGGCTTCTCAGATACCATGTCCGTGTTTTCTGAGAACACGTTATTTTCTGAAGGCTTTATTTCTGACAATCTTTCAATTTGAAGACTTGATGTTTCAAGAGCGTTTTCTTCAGACATTTCTGTTGGCTCTCTCAGTTCTGAAATAATGTTCTCTAGAGATGCAAATCTACTTTCAAGGTTATGCATTTTGTCAGAAATTTTCTTTAAGAATTTCTGGCACTTAACATCTACATATTTCTTTTTACCATCAGCACTATGAGCTTGACGCCGTTCTCTAACAAGCTGTTTATAGAATTTGGAAATATTTTGAGTGATGGGGACAGATAATGAACTGAGATGATTCTCTTTTGAAAGACTAAAGATATCAAGGTTCTTTGGGTCTTTTGTTAACTTATAACCAGAACTGCTTTCTTTCATTGGCTCAAGATTAGCATTTGTTTCCACAGCTTTATGCAGTTGTGAAGAATTGTCCTCAAACTTCAGAGGAACAAATGTAGATTTACTATCATTATACTCAGTTCTGAAATCATAAGCAGCTACACTGAGGGTATCATTTTCTGAAGCCTCCCATGCTGCACTCTGTGTTTCTATTGGAATAGCAATTGCAGATGGAGGAAGTACAGCCCTTTTGGTATCATTTGAATTTTGATACTCAGCAAGATTATGATGGTTCATTTCAGTCTCCAAATCATGATTGAGAGTTGTGCTATCTTTCTTAGAATTTGGATTGTAAATGTACTGGTGGAACAACTCCATTCTGTGCTTAATATCTGAAACACAAATAACAATCATTACTATCTCATACGCATAATTTTTACATAAGCTTATCGAATATATGGTATTGCAACAGGAATGATTTTAATAAACTTTTAAACAGTTATGTGTCACTCTAAATTCTTTATAAAAATATAAAGATTTGATTTTAATACTTACGAGTGGAATTATAAATAATAGTGGCAATTAATACAGCAACTGTAGCCATTCCCAGCATTAGAGTTACAACCGTAACTGCTGGGCGTCTGTTCCTTCTTGTGCAGTAGTATACTGAATGTTCACGACGGGAAAATCTTCTTTCCCACCATCGTTGAGACCAGGTTCCAAATCTTCGTTCTAAAATTTAATCAACTTATTCCATTGCAACTTCATACTGACTGGCTTGACTGCATTAATGGAAAGGTTAACGTAGGATGGTGATGAAAAATCAGTGATATTTATGATGATTTTGGTTATCACGCTAGGAACAGACAGGGAGTAGTTAAGCTTTGTCATCCCGCAACTAAAATTAGATAGCCATTACCAATTTAAACTTTCACTGTCATGTGGGACAAACGTTCTCATATAAGAAATGTAAATACCATAAATTAAAGGCTAAAATATAAATTATTACCTAACAGTATGTACTTGTACGTCAACAAATTAATATTTAAGTGATGTAACCTGTGACCATAAGCTAGAAAGTCTTGCATTTTATTTTAGTATAAAAAAATTCCGATCATGGAGAACAAAACAATACAATGGTATAACTGTAGCTGATACTAACTAACTACATGGATCTGAGCCCTTCTTGAGAAGCTACCAGTCTCTCATCTACTCAAAAATTCCAAAAATTTTATTGAACCCGAAGGTCCATTACTGTGTTCACAAGAGCCCTCCATTAATTACTATCATGAACCGGATCAATCTAGTCCATGCACGCCATCCTATCTCTTTAAGACCCATCTTAATATTAACCACCCGCCTACGTCTAGGTCTTATTATTATTATTGGAGGGGGTGGGTTTCCCCATGCACCGCGACTAATAATTCCGATTTTCAGCAATGTCGATTAATAATAAAGCCTAGTTTGCATAAAGCTATAAAAAGACTTTCCATGTATCCCACGAACGGCTCCCCGGCTTGCGTTGAAGTCCTACATATAATAAGAAACTAATTAATTTGCGTTTCATTATTACTGTCCGGTCTAGAAAACCATGATTAACGGCCGTGGGGATCCGTTGCGCTGACCACTTGACACCATCTATCCGCAAAAGTTGGCAATAACTTCGCCGACAAGTGGCGGTCGCTCGGTCGGTATAGTTCGCTTGCGGACTACAGTCCGTGGAGTTTTTTTTTTCATTATTACTGTTCTCCTCAGCTTCCTAAACTTCAAGGAACGCCGTGTAGGATTCGAGGATCATTCAGCGGTGATTATGGAGAGCTCCATCTTCTGGAATATAACACCGTACAGTCTGTTGAAAGTAAACGGACGTTTCGGAGGAGCAAGTCGCAAGACATCCACCTGCTTTCAAGGCGATTTCTTGCTAGGCTTATTCTTCCACCCTGAAGATTGAGGAGACATGTTCCTCCGAAACGTCGGGTGACTTTAAACGGACTGCACGGCACTATATTCCAGAAGATAAAACTATTCAAGGAACGCTGTTGGTACTTTTGTGCACACCCTTTCAAATCTTGCTCTATAACAGTGTCATCACCAAAGTTTTACAATATACGTACGCATAATTGGGAAGCCAGGAAAGTCACTATAGAAAGAAGATTCTTGGAATAAGGCATACGGGTTAAATTCCCGCGTATATACGTTAAAAGTGAACCATTCCCCATTCCCCCAATCCTTTTCATAGACAAGGTGACCAGCAAAATGTCCTCGCGTGTCAGCAAGCAAAGTTTCGTACAGCACACGAAGTACATTCAGAGCGACAAGTATTTTTGCCTTTCCAGAAAACATACTTGCATATTTAAAACAGGTCAGCTTTCCATATCATGTAATTAAAATCGTTAAATCAATAAAGTTGCCCACCATTAAGTTATACAGGTCAATAATCCTTTATTAGTCTTAAGCTTAAGAAAAGAGGCTGAAGAAAACTAAAGAAAATGAGGTGCTCCATAATTGGTACTTTTCGCATAATGTTCGGGTGACTAAATCGAAGAGCATGAGCTGGGAGGTACATGTAGCATGCATGACAGAGATGAAAGGCGGACAGAACATTGTGGCTGAGAAACCTCAAAGGAAGACACTGCTTCAGGGAGGGAGGAGTAAATTGGATAACAAAAGGAGTTCGTCTGGGAGCCTCACAAAGCTTCTTCTGCCGGACGGCCGAGAAGCACTCTTTCTCACTGTGCCACGCTAAGACTCCTGGCATTGTCGGCAGGC